TCATACTGCTACTGCTGCTACTGCTGCTGCTTCATACTGCTACTGCTGCTCCTGCTAATGCTGCTTCTGCTGCTTCATACTGCTACCGTTACTGCTGCCGCTGCTGCTTCATACTGCATCTGCTGCCGTGCTGCTGCTGCTTCATGTACTTTGACATCTCTCTTCACTTCGCATCTCTTTTGCTGAAACACTAAACAGCTACAACAATATTCTACTGCTCTGGCTTTGATACAGGATTATTGCTGTTATTATCTACGGATGCTGCAGCTGCTGCTGCTGCTGCTGCTTCATACTGTTACTGCTGCTGCTGCTTCATACTGCTACTGCTGCTGCTTCATACGGCTACTGGCTGCTGCTGCTTCATTTACTTTGCCATCTCTCTTCACTTGCATCTCTTTTACTGAAACACTGAACAGCTACAACAACATTCTACTGCTGTGGCTTTGATACAGAATTATTACTGTTATTTTCTAAGGATGCTGCTGCTGCTGCTGCTGCTACTGCTGCTGCCGTGGCTTGATACAGGACTATTGCTGTTATTATCTGAGGTTACTGCTGCTGCCGCTGCTGCTACTGCTGCAACCCACTCTCTCAGAAGCTTATCCTGCTTCTAATGGATGCAGCCCGGCTAGTATGCCGCGCTGCGCTGGACTCGCACCTATGCTCCCAGGGTCGCTTTGGCGGTCATGCTTCATCTCTCTACTTAATCTTCTGATCTATCAGATGCAGCTGGCCGAGTAGCTGCGCTGAGCCGTCAATCGGACTCCTAATCAAAGGCATCCATACCTGTATTCTTCACTCTTCTGATCGCAGGCTCCCCATCATGCTGCCCATCCTGCAGCGGCGCTGAACTCCGGCTCATCTTCCAAGTACATGTCTGCCCTCCTCGCAGCATCTTCCTGCTCTCCTTCTATGGCTTCTCTGCATAAGCGTCTCACCATTGCTCACTCAACCTTCATGCGGTCCGAGACACGGCTTTCCCGACCATCCTACTATCCTGATTATCTACTCTCCAACCCAAGATTCTAAGCGTAAGGGCGCCTGCAACATCAATGGCCCTCTCCGATATGTCTCTGCCCCTACAGGTCTCCGCTTCTACACGGACGCTGCCCCTTCCGTGGGTTTTGGGGGATTCTTCCAGGACCATTGGTTTGCCGAGCGTGGCCGCTACTTTCCACCGGAGCATCTCCTCTGCCCTACACGAGATATTCCCAGTGGTCGTGGCCTGCGCGCTGCGGAATCACATGTGGCAGAGAAAGAGGATCTCCGTCATGCGTGATAATCTCGACATAGTGGAAGCATTAAACAAAGGTCGCTCTTCTCACCCAACATAATGTCCCCTGACCATTTCAACCTTCATCTCAAACATTCAAAGATCAAAGGCGCCTGCAACACAATAATAGCTCGCTCCGACACATCTCTCTGCCCCTACAGGTCCATGATGCGTTACACTCGCCTCCGCCGCAAAAAAGATTTTAACGGACCTCTAATTCCCGCTCCAGACAACCTTCCCATAACAGCAACCTGGTTCAGAGCTCAGCTAAGATCCCTACTGCTCCTCTGCAATTTGTCTCCCCAGCTCTATACAGCCCACTCCTTCAGGATAGGCGCTGCCACGCGCGCGACCTCGCTGGGGCTCCCCCACTCTTCTCTGCAACAGCTGGGGCGCTGGTCCTCTTCGGCTTTCTCCATCTGGCCTGATGTAGATCAGGCCAGATGCGACCGCTATCATGGCAGCACAACGTCTACCGGCTTCCTCGTAAGCTCCCAGCAAAGCAAGTAAGCAATAAGATTCTGGTGGCGGCACGCACTTTCCTCAAACGCTCAAAGATTCCTCTGCTTCAGCGTCTGGCTGAACATGCGCGTGCGCGCATGTTCTCAGCTCGCTCAAAGATTCCTCTGCTTCAGCGTCTGGCTGAATATGAGCATGCGCTCATATTCTCAGCTCGCTCAAAGATTCCCCTGCTGCAGCGTCTGGCTGAACATGCGCGTGCGCGCATGTTCTCAGCTCGCTTAAAGACTCCCCTGCTGCAGCGTCTGGCTGAAATGCGCGTGCGCGCATGATTAAAGATTCCCCTGCTTCAGCGTCTGGCGAATATGAGCATGCATCTCATATTCTCAGCTCGCTCAAAGATTCCCCTGCTGCAGCGTCTGGCTGAACATGCGCGTGCGCGCATGTTCTCAGCTCGCTTAAAGACTCCCCTGCTGCAGCGTCTGGCTGAATATGAGCACGCTCATATTCTCAGCTCGCTCTGCCTAAACAAACACGGGCCCCAGCGGACGCAGCCGGCCGAAGCGACCGTGCGAGAAGCCTCACTCATGCTCTCAGGCCCGCGCAGTACGTCCTGCTATCCCAATCGCAGGCCCGCTTTTTGGGGATTATGCACGCGAGCAAGCGCCGCGCTCAACAGCATCCCTCCCGGGCCTAGGGCGCCAAACATGCTCAATGAATAAACATGCTTATTTCTAATAAGTCTAATGGCAATTTCCTCATGGGTCTCTACAAGGTGAACTGTTTAGCTGTGGATACAACTGAGGGCTTTCTTTCTTGTTCGTTGTTCTTTATTAATGTTCTGTGATTATTTATGATTAATGCCTAATGTGTGATTTTTTTATATCTTGTTTTGTTCAGCACTTTGAGTTTCCTTGTGTATGCATTGTGCTATACAAATAAATTTGCTTTGATTGCAATACAAGGTAACCGTAAACTGAATAAACATTTCACAGTACAATTCAACATTCGGTTTTATTTTCTTCTTAAAAGTATATCTAATATGTGTTTGCCTCGATGCCATAGACAGCTGGTTCCAAGCAGCTGAGGATCTAAGCAAAACAAAACTGTTCTCCTCATATAGTAGCTCGACTTCAGAAAAGGAACAACTAAATCTCGAGAGCTGACCTACCGGGTCACATGCTGATGGCAAGAACCGCTGTCAACTAGTTTTTCCACAAAGACATGTGGATTGTTTTGATAAATGATATTAAAGAAGCAGTTCTTTAACTTGTCCTGTCCTTAACACATACCACATACTTTGCACAAGGAAATACTACATTTAAATCTGTTTGGGTAACATTTTATTATAATAATTCAACATTAAAGCTGCACTAACTCAATTTGTGACATTTTCGAAATTGAGTAAGCAGTATTTGGAAACAAAGACACGGGAAGTTCCAGGTTAGCCTCTGCCGCTCGTTTACCTCAGTTGCCTGCGCTAACAAGAGACCAGTAGCTTTTCTCAAGAAAGTGGGGGCCAGTGGTCCGCTGTGATTGGTCACAATCTGGTCCCTAAACCAATTCTCTTCCTTGTTGCACAAAAACTCGATCTAAAATAAAATGACAGGCCAGCACCAACCAGCGCTACTTATTCTTCAAAAGGACGTATAGTTATGGATTGAATTTTCGTAATGAATACAAAAATAAAGTGAGGTAATGCAGCTTTAATTCATTCATTATTCATGTCTTATTGTACGTCCACATCCAAATCATTTTCACTTATTGCCTGGGTCCATTGATTTTTCATTTTAGGTCATACGTATACATGTATTAAAATGTGCGGTGAATTTCTCTCGCTCACTTCTCACATTCTTAATATTTCATCATTTCAATATAAAACATCTGTAGTTTGTGCTTTGAACTTGCTGCAATGTTGAGTTTGATACTGTTTTTTTATATTCACACACATTATACAAGCCTCAACAGGAGTTTAAGTGGTAAGTGGCATTTGGCTGCTGCTGCAAGGCGGCACACATTTACAAAAGACAAACAACACTGGAAATATCTGACTCCAAACACGATATGAAGCCATAGTGTTGTTTTATTCAATAGATCTCTGTGTCGTGCTGGCGGTTTTATATGCCACCGCACAAAGCACACAGCCCACAATAGGACACCAGTGGAGCAGGAAAAAGCAACGCCGTATTTTGGGAAATGTGGTCCAGTGAGACGCTGGGGGAGCTATTTTGTTCCCCAAAGTCAATATTCAAGAAATATCAAGTACATTCATCTTATCTACACCAAGTGGCCACATATTGTCAAAGATCCATGAATAAAACTGTTTGACGCCAACATATTCTAACATAATAATAAATAAAACATAATATAATATGGCATCAGTTTTACATTTACTGCTTTTTTGGACACACAAAGATGCTTCACATGGCAGTATTCATTCACTCCATACACGGGGGTGATAAGCTACTACTGAAGGCACAGTTGCCCTGAGGCACACTGACGAGGCAACAAATATGTGCCATCTGCCCCTCTGACCACCACCAGCCATACACTTACACACCAGACTCATTCTAGGCAATGTGGGTGAAGTGTCTTGCCAAAAGACTCAACAACAGTTTGATCCCAGAGGTCTTCCATCACATTATTAACCATGCCCTGCCCTGCTTAGGATGCAAGTAGCACCACCAATATTACCACTAATCACCACCAATCTTACCTCTCTACACACATATTTTTGGCCAAATAATAATAATAATAATACATCAGTTATATATAGCGCTTTTCAAATACTCAAAGACGCTTATGAGCTTCCGAAAAGTTAAAGTTAAAAACAGAGGACAACGCTCACTCAGCCAATCAGCTCTCAACTCAAAGTGTCAAATAGTGACTAAAAACGCTCTTTCTTACAAGAATGCAAAAAATAATGTGTTTTCTAATACGATAAAAACAGTATGCTGTGGTCTGGTTTGTTCACGATAAGACTTTCTGTTGAGACACAGATAATGTATTATATATGAAACTGAAAAGTTAGTTACCCCATCTTAATTACACATTCCACAGTGAATTTACAAGATTTGTTCATTTTTCTTCTCGTGGTGAATTTGTCCTCAAAAACAACCTGTTCACCACATCATTATTGGGCTTGTTTCCATTGTTTGTGAATGTATGTTTTTCTGTTTGTTTGGGACGTGTGGTTTCCTGCAGCGGTGAGTGTTCATTTGGCTGAGTCACGTTGGTTCTGGCAGGGTTGAACCAGGACCGGCCCATAATGGATTTTGGACGGAGCGGAGGAGCGGACGTGGGAACTCGCTCTGCTGTTCTCCCATCTGCCGCACACTGTCGAGGGTTAGAGAAGCTATGGCAGTGTGTTCTGGGGGCCATGGGGGGTGAAGGGTGTGTGTATGAAGTCTATCCACAAATACATAGGGTATTCTTGTCTGCATGTGGAGATGGTTATGTAAACAACTTAAGCTGCTCTGCACGTACAGTACATGCGCTGAATAATATCTTTCAATAGACAAGTAGTATAAGCCACTGGGAAAGAGAGGTTTGTGTCATGTTGTGGGGAGATTTTCAATACAACGTTTACATTAATGGAAAAGAAAACCCCTGCTAAGTCAGACAGAGGAATTTCAAACCACCCGATGAATACTTACTTTGCATTGCTACAGGATTAGTAGACTGCAGATTGGTTTTATATAGAGCTTTTCTGGACCCTCAAAAGATGCTTTAAGGCCCTCTAGTGTCATGGTTTAGATTTATTTCCTGTTTTATTTTGTAGTTTGTTATATCCCTGTGTCTGCTTTGGTTGCTCTTCCTGTCTTACCAGCCCTGCCCTCATGTGTATCACCTGTGTCTCGTTAGTCTTGTATTTAGCCCTGTGTGTTCCTTCACTCCCTGTTCCATCATTGTCTTCCCTAGTCTGTTTTAGTTATGTCCTCGTTCTTTGTGGTTTTTGGATTTGTTTCATCTTTTTATTAAATCCATTACTTTTTGCAGTTTTGCATTTTGGGTCTCATTTAATTTCACCCACGTGACAGAATGATGGAACCCCACAAGGCCCAAGCAGACTGCTTCATTTTTAATTTTTCTGGCCTTTATCCCCAACTGGAGAGTTGCTGCAGGAGTTGGAAGCATCCCTCTCTTGTCTTTGTCCTGGACCACTGCAGGACACTTTGTTCCGTCCTGGGTGGTTGCAGGCTTTCGTCCCTGACCTGGCTCCGCTGGACATCGTTTCTCCATCCAGGGGGCCTTCCGGTTTTCGTACCTGCTTCGCTCTAGTCCCCGCTCCAGCTCCTGCTCCAACCCTGCCGGGTTCCAGCTCGGCGGCTCCACGTCCCGGCCCCGGTTTCACGTCCCGGCCCCGGTTTCACGTCCCGGCCCCGGGTTTCACGTCCCGGCCCCGGGTTTCACGTCCCGGCCCCGGCTCCACGTCCCGGCCCCGGCTCCACGTCCCGGCCCCGGCTCCACGTCCTGACCCCGGCTTCACGTCCCGGCCCTGGCTCCACGTCCCGGCCCCGGCTCCACGTCCTGACCCCGGCTCCACGTCCTGACCCCGGCTTCACGTCCCGGCCCTGGCTCCACGTCCCGGCCCCGGCTCCACGTCCTGACCCCGGCTCCACGTCCTGACCCCGGCTTCACGTCCCGGCCCCGGCTCCACGTCCCGGCCCCGGCTCCACGTCCTGACCCCGGCTCCACGTCCTGACCCCGGCTTCACGTCCCGGCCCTGGCTCCACGTCCCGGCCCCGGCTCCACGTCCTGACCCCGGCTCCACGTCCTGACCCCGGCTCCACGTCCCGACCCCGGCTCCACGTCCCGACCCCGGCTCCACGTCCCGACCCCGGCTCCACGTCCCGACCCCGGCTCCACGTCCCGACCCCGGCTCCACGTCCCGACCCCGGCTCCACGTCCCGACCCCGGCTCCACGTCCCGACCCCGGCTCCACGTCCCGACCCTGGCTCCACGCCCCGGCCCCGGCTCCACGTCCCAGCTCCTGCCTTTCCTACGGTCCCTCTCCCTCCCTGGTTGTTTTTTGGACGTCTGGGATCCGTCCCTTGAGGAGGGGGTACTGTCATGGTTTAGATTTATTTCCTGTTTTATTTTGTAGTTTGTTATATCCCTGTGTCTGCTTTGGTTGCTCTTCCTGTCTTACCAGCCCTGCCCTCATGTGTATCACCTGTGTCTCGTTAGTCTTGTATTTAGCCCTGTGTGTTCCTTCACTCCCTGTTCCATCATTGTCTTCCCTAGTCTGTTTTAGTTATGTCCTCGTTCTTTGTGGTTTTTGGATTTGTTTCATCTTTTTATTAAATCCATTACTTTTTGCAGTTTTGCATTTTGGGTCTCATTTAATTTCACCCACGTGACATCTAGACCTAGCCTGACTCTCGCCAGACCCTTGAATTTTGCTGAGCTTCTCACATGGGTCTGGGTCTGCTTCACAGCGAATACATTTCAGAAGGCGGGACCTTGTAAAATAATCCTTGTATGTGATTGGATAAACCACTTGTCTGTTATCTTGAATAACGTGTTCCTTCAACCACTCACATTGAAGCATACGATTCAGCACACGACTCCCATGGGTTGCCAAATACTATCAAGATTTTCCAGTCCAAAACCCACGAGAATGCCACACAAAAAAACACCCAAAATGATTTTTTGGCATGTAATGTAGTCAACTTGGCTCATGATTCTGTTTATTATCTTTAGTAAGTAAGTAAGTAATCTTTATTTATATACCGCCTTTCACAGACCAGAGTCACAAGGCGGTTTACAATTGGTTTTTTTGGGTATTTGTCCTCTCACTCCTCACAGAGATGGGAGCGGGGTACAGTACAGGAGGCGCATGCCAGATCTATTGTAAAAAAAAATTAGTGGTAGGGGAAACCGGAGCACCCAGAGGAAACCTACGCAGACACGGGGAGAACATGCAAAATCCATTCAGAAAGGCCATGGTCCGACCAGGATTTGAACCCAGGACCTTCTTGCTGAGAGGCGGGTGTGCTATCCACTCGGCCACCGTGCCACCCGGCCTTTATTCATTACCTACAAGTCACTTGTAGGTAATAAAAAATATGCAGGCAACCACCCAACCTGGCAACCCTGCTGCATAGTGTTGTAACCAAACTGTACACAAACGTTTGACTCTTAAAACATGCATATAACAAAATGGAACCATCAACATCTCGTCTCATTTTACATTAAAAGTGACATCCGTGTCTTAATTCTTTCGTATTTAAACTTTTTTTTTAATTCACGGACTATATGCCATCTTGGATTTCTTTTGCTGCCGAGTGAGACACACACGAGAAAGGCGATGCAAAGCCGACGTAACACTGGCAGTCCTGATTGGCCGACTATTTTTTTATGTTCATTGGCGTCGATCCCATTATGTTCAGCCAAACGCCTCTGATGGAGCATGGCGGAACTACAAGGGTCTGGCGAGAGTCAGGCTACTCTCGAGCTACTCTCATAGGCTTGCATTATTAAAGTTTCTAATTCTTATGACACCAACATAGTATTAGTCTGGATTGTTTTGATCAGAATGATTCATTTGCATCAGTACGGACTATGAACGTTATGATTGAGCTATTTATTGATCAGTTATTTTACCAGACACTAACTATGTAAGAAGATTACATTATTACAGACCTGAAACTTCTGGCACAAAAAAGGCACAAACATGTCATGCTGCCATCTATTCAAATTTCCCTTTTCAAACTTGGTTTGCCAAAACTTATGCTCAGACCACAACATGGTCATGGCTGTCATGGCTGCTCCAAATAAGTTTTGGGGTTTTATTTTCAGTCAAATAACATTCTTTACCACGGCTTGCTATCAGTTTTGTGTGCTTTATGTGCCATAATTCGTGATTGAGACTATAATAATAATCTAAATTCTTTAATCACTCAAAGAAAACAAATTCCTGATCCTTCAAACTAAGCGCAATTTTCTGCAGAGTTCACCAGATCTAAACCACTTCCCAGGATGTTGCCTAAAATGGAATAGCACTAATGTCAGTGCTTTGGTGAGCCGCTCGAGCATGTTCTAATGATGCAGCATTCCCACACAGCGGCGGGCTACAGATGGTGGAGCGAAAGGTGCCGACTTTGAGCTCTTTGGGGGCCAAATCTACTCTTCCTCCTTATTCTCTCCCCTCCTCCTCCTCCCCCACACCTGACACTCATTCATCACTGGCTGGCTGCAGTCTGCTTTACAGCCATTTGGATGCAGAGGGCGCCGTGCACTAACCTTGGCGGAAGGCTTGATTTCTTCGCTGTGTCATGTGACAGCAGCGCACATGGGCCTGTCCCGTCATTTCACACATCACATACCTCATTGTAAACACTTAAACCACTGGGGTTGAAACACCTGCCTATATGCCTATTACAGGTTTATTGTGTATGAAAGCACATAGGGATATTTGATAATATAATAATTATAATTATTGACCACATCCATAATAAGACAGTTATTTGATTTGGTTGTTAAATTCCTTTACCAATCACGTAACAGGAAAATAGAAATTACGTGATCTTTGATATTGAATAAATAACTGATATAATACAATTTAATAAAGGTATAACAAATATATTATAATATAGGCCATAAGAATCACAACCCATTCTAGAGCAGAAATCTGCATCAGCATTTTATCCAAAAGGAATTCTACTAAAAATATATCATGATGTCACTTTCGAACACACTTTTGCGCACAAGCCTCAGGTCGGCTCATTCATTAAAATGGGAAGTCACATTTCTTAAATCACTCATTACTTTCACAAACACAAGTGACATGTCCAAACCTGAAGGAAATTGCTCCATATTCCTTCAACGTTCAACCCAAGATTGATCCTTTGATGTTGATGTTGTGAAGCAGAACTCACCAAGCGTTGGATTGTTCGCCTAATAATAGGGAACGTGCGCTGGGTTTAGACCGTTGTGAGACAGGTTAGTTTTACCCTACGGATGATACCTTGTTGTTATTTGAGATGGCTATCTTCTGCGCCATTTCCAGGCGCAGAGGATTCTGTGTGAAGTTTAGATAGATAGATAGATAGATACATTCTTTACTGATCCCCCGTAGGAGATATTCAGGTGTCCAGCAGCAGAAGACTCTTTTTTGTTGTTGTACAGTCAGTCAGGTTTTTTGTACAGTCTGACAGCCGATGGAACAAAGGATCTCTTGAAACGTTCCGTTCGGCAGCGTAGTGATAGGAGCCTGTTGCTTCGATTACTCCTCTGAGCAGCCATCGTGTCATGCAGAGGGTGTCTGGAGTTACCAGGATGCCCTGCATTTGAGCCCTCATCTTTCTCTCCAGCACAGCTGCCACAGAGTCTTTGCAAAGTTTGCATGTTCTCCCACCTCTAAAAACATGTACAATAGGTGGTTGAATGAGTGTGTGCTTGTGAGTGTGGCTACAATCTGGTATATTTACTGCTCCTGCTGTTCATGAATATGCACTGTCCCATCCATATAAATCCAAATAATAATAATAATAATAATAATATATTGGTTTTATATAGCACTTGTCAAAAAACTTTTCCAATGTAGTTTTTTTTTTTTTCTGCAAATGACAATAAATTGATTCTGATTCTGAAGAACTCGCTTCACAGTTCAGGACACACACATACACATTTAGACAGACAAACAAAACAAAAAATCTAAAAGCAGGAATGAAGAGTGCAATGCTGAAACTAAGTAAGTAAGTAAGCAATGTTAATTTATGTAGCGCCTTTCACAGACCAGCGTCACATTTCTTTTGTTATTTTTTTCTTGGGCATTTGTCTCTCACTCCACACAGAGATGGGAGCGAGGTTGCAGTACAGGAAGTGTATGCCAGACTTATTGTACATGATTTTAGAGAAACTGGAGCACCCGCAGGAAACTTTCGCAGACACAGGGAGAACGTGCAAACTCCATTCAGAAAGGCCCGGTTTGGACGGGGATTGGAACCCAGGGACTTTCTTGCTGAGAATCGAGAGTGCTCTCCACTCAGCCCAGAGGAAGAGGTGAGTTTTTAACTATTTTTTTGAAGGAGTTTAGTGAGTCCGAGTTTCTGAGGTGAAGGGGGAGAGAGTCCCAGAGAGTGGGAGCAGAGAAAAAGTTAATAAACAAATTCAACAGTAAAAAATATTACCAATGGTGACAAAGTGGAGCTAACCGGGAAGGAGCCATGAGAGTTGAACAATGTCCAACTTCTGCAAAGACGTTTTGGGCATCAACCAATCAGAGAGCAGCACCAAGAGTAAAACACAGACAACATTTAGTGCAAAATTGAAACCAGGCCTGAACCAGGACTGGCTAAGATTGTTAGTTGCATAATATTTCATACTGCTGCAATTATCCCAATATTTATTTGAGGCCAACTGTGTTCTTCCTTTGTAAATATCAACACATCAAAGAATCATGGGAGTAAACAGCCTCTTTAATAAACACCTTCATCAAAGCGGTGGTTGTCTGCGTGCACTGTGGACTTGGCAGCTTTACAGTCAAACGTATACAATCAAAGTATTCCGCTCTTTGTTATATCCTGTACATTGTCAGATAATCCCGCCTCCCCAGAGCTTCTCCAAACAGGTGATGCTCTGGGCTCTTACAGGTTTCCTATAATCTCCAAGAGCAGATGGGTACACGGCCCTCACTTTGCCAGCTCTGCGCCGCGGGCAACCGTGGCAACAAAAACACAAACTCTCCCCAAGCCAAGAGAGTGGGCCAGAGCTCACTGCGGGGCCCACCAACACATCCACCTTATGGAGCATTATGGACCTCTGTATAGCCATATAGCATTCAGCGATAACATATCTGGATTTGTCTATTCAAGTTACTGTGACAGATCAATAGGATATAGCACGTATATTGGTCCTTCCTGGGGTCCTTTGAAGACTGAGGCCTTCAGAGCCACGAAAGATCCAGCCTGGGTATAGACTGTGAACCAAAGGTGAATTTGGACACAGCTTATGACAGCTTAGACTGAAGATTTATGGTGCATTATTTTTGGCCTTGAAATTATTAATCTTTTTTTCAGACTCAAGATCAAATTGGTCCATACAAAAAAATAGAAAATAAAATACAATC